GCCCCGACCCCTCGGTTTGGGGCCGCCCCGGTGTCACCTCCGGGCTCCGCTGCTGGGACGTGGAGGTGTCACCCTGGGGCTCGTGGGCCCTGGGGGTGGCCCTGGGGAGCCCCCCGGGCGAGCTGTGGTCCGTGGGGCTGTGCCAGGGGCAGCTCTGGGCGCTCACGGCCCTGGAGCGGGTGCCCCTGGCGCGGGTGGGGGTCCCCAGGAGGGTGAGGGTGTCCCTGGACCACGGCGGGGGCCGGGTGGCGTTTTTGGACGCCGAGAGGAGGGAGCTGATCTTCGCCTTCCCCGCGGCCTCGTTCGGGGGGCAGAGGGTGCACCCCTGGTTCCTGGTGTGGGGAGAAGGTGCCCGGATCGCCCTGTGCCCCTGAGGGTCCCTCCCCTGGGAGGGGGGCGAGGGGGGTCCCCCCATTCCCAGGACTGGCTGCCCGAGTCCTCCCCTTCCCCTCCATGCTCGGGATCTCCCTGAGAATAAGGAAACCCCAAAAGGAAGCGTTGGGGTGATGGGATCCTGCCCCAAAATAGGGAAACCCCCCCCCAAAAAAAAAGCACTGGCGCGATGGGAACCACCCCAAAAATAGTGAAACCCCAAAACGAAACACTGACACCATGGGAGCCACCCCAAAAATAGGGAAACCCCAAAACGAAACACTGACACCATGGGAGCCACCCCAAAAATAGGGAAACCCCAAAACGGAGCATGGGCACCCCAAAATGAAGCATTGACACGATGGAAGCCTCCCCAAAAACAGGGAAACCCCAAAATGGAGCGTCTGTCATGTGGTTTTTTTTCCTTTCAATTAACGACACAAATCGGGGAGGTTTCAAATCTGGGGGGGGAGGAGAGGGTTCCTGAGGGGGTTTGGGGGTTCCTGAGGGGGTTTGGGGGTTCCTGAAGGTTCCTGGTGGTCCCTGGGTGGTTTTTGGTGGTTCCTGAAGGATTTTTGGGGGTTCCGAGGGGGGTTTTGATGGTTCTCGAGGGTTCCTGGTGGTCCCTGGGTGGTTTTTGGTGGTTCCTGAGGGGTTTTGTTGGTTTCTGAGGGGTTTTTGGTGGTCCCTGGGTGGTTTTTGATGGTCCCTGGCTGGTTTTTGGTGGTCCCTGGGTGGTTTTTTATGGTCCCTGGCTGGTTTTTGCTGGTCCCCGAGTGATTTTTACCGGTCCCTGATGGGAAGACCTCCGAGTGTGTCCCCCCCCTCTCAGGGGCAGATCCTCAGCTGGGACCTGACCCCCACCACCCAGAGCCAGGGCCGGACCCTCTCCCCGGCGAATCCCGCCCTGGAGAAGAGGAAGAGGAGCCCCCCCCCTGCTCCCCCCCCCTCGGCGTCGAAGAAGGCCACGGTGCCCGCGGGGTAGTCGAGGTGGACGCTGACCCTGCGGGGCACCCGGCGCAGGGGCAGGGGGGTCACTTTTCGGGGGGTCAGCGCCCTCAGCTGCCCCCCCCAGCGCTCCAGGCCCCAAATCCCGCCCTGGGGGCCCAAGGGCAGCCGGCCCTTCCTGGCCACCGAGTCCCGGGCCACCCCCACGGCCCAGTCGCCGCCGTCGCCCACGTCCACGGCCCAGCAGTGGCGGCCGGAGGCGAAGCCGGGCTGGCCCAGCACGAAGGGCCAGTAGTCGAAGCGTTCCGGGGTGTCCGGGAGGTTCCGGGCGGGTCCGGCCCCGCGGCGCCGGACGCTCTTCCCGTCCTCCGACAGCACCAGCTCGGGGTGGGCGGTGTCGGGGTCCAGGGTCACCGGGGCTGGAGGGGGAAAAAGGGGGGTTAAAAGTTGGGGTGAGAAACCCTCGGGGGCAGGAGGGATCGGTTTGGGGTCGGCGGGGGGTGGGACGGCACCGAAAGGAAGGGTTGGGATGAAGGGATCCGGCCCAAAAATAGGGAAACCCAAAGATGA